CCAGGCAGCGGAGGGTTGAGTTGCAGGAGTCAGGCGGTGTAGGGCTGAGCGGTTGGAGCTGGACATGCTGAGCTGGGCAGGGTGGTTACTGTTGCCCCGGCCATGTGGGGAGCTAGGTTGGGTTGGGGGCAGGGCCGGCTCCAGCTTTTTCGCAGCCCCAAGTGGCGAAGAGAAGAAAAAAAAAAAATAGCCGCGGCACTTCGGTGCAGGGGTCGGCTCCAGGTACCAATGCAGCAAGCAGGTGCCTGGGGCAGCCAGTGGGGAAGGGGCGGCACGTGCGGCTCTTCGGCGGTGGGTCCCTCAGTCCCTCTCGGAGGAAGGACCTGCCGCCGAATTGCCGTTGAAGAATGAAGCAGATCGCGATCGCGGCTATTTTTTTTTCTTTCCGCCGCTTGGGGCGGCAAAAACCCTGGAGCTGGCCCTGCTTTGGCGGCTGCTCTACTGCGCTGCTTCTTCGGCGGCTAGTCCTTCCCTCCGAGAGGGACTGAGGGACCCGCCGCCGAATTGCCGCTGAAGACCCGGACGTGCCGCCCCCTTCCATGGGCCGCCCCAAGCACCAGCTTGCTGCGCTGCTGCCTGGAGCCGGCCCTGGCTGGAGGGGTCTGACACATGGGGCTGGGCACAGCCTTTCACTCTCCCTCCCCCCAGGCTGGCGACCCTCTTTCCGCTACTTCAGCAAGTGGAGCGCCCTCTTTGGGGCCGTGATCTCCGTGGTCATCATGTTCCTGCTGACCTGGTGGGCGGCCCTCATTGTGGTGGGCATTATCCTGGTCAGCTTGGCCTACGTCAGCTACAAGAAGCCAGGTAAGGGAGGCGCCGGGGAGGTGGGAGGGGATGGGGAGACCTGGGGGGCACCCAGACCGAACAAGCTTTTCTCTGCATCCTCTTCATCCTCCCCACAGACGTCAACTGGGGCTCTTCTGTGCAGGCCGGGACCTACAGCATGGCCCTGTCCTACTCCGTCAGCCTCACCCAAGTGGAGGAGCATGTCAAGAACTTCCGGTAGGCCTGGCTGGCTGAAAGCCGGGGGGGAAGGGGGGAGGGTTGGGAGCTAGGACTCCTGGGTTCCATGCCTGACTCTGGGAGCAAAATGGGGTCTAGTGGTTAGAATGGGGGGTGCTGGGCTCTATAACTGATTCTGAGAATAATGCTTGGGCATTGGGGGCAGCAGTGTATCTGTGGGGAGAGCACCCCCCCCCCCGACTGTCCCAACCCTCCCTCTCTTCCAGCCCCCAGTGCCTGGTGCTGACGGGTCCCCCCAGCTTCCGACCAGCTCTGGTGGATTTCGTCAGTGCCTTCACCAAGGGGGTCAGCCTCATGATCTGTGGGAACGTGGCTGGGGTGAGTATGGGGATGCCGGGGAGGCAATCAAGGAGGTGAGTTTGGGGCCCGGGATCCTGCCCCCTAACCCTCCCCTTGCCTCTCCCAGCCGCAGGACACCCCAGGGGACAGCGACTCAGAGGAGCACGTTGAGTGGCTGAACAGGCGCAAGGTGCGATCCTTCTACACCCTCATCACGGCCCCGGACCTGCGCAGCGGAGCCCGCAGCCTCATGCAGGTGTGTGTGTCCCAGCGCCCCCTGCTGGAGGGGCTGAGCCCTGCTCTGTGTGCTGCCCCCTGCTGGTGCAGATGAGCGCTGTGCTGTGCATGCACCGCCCTGTCCCCCAGTGAGTGCAGCCTGCCATGCTGCGCTGTGTGTCATCCCCCCCCACACTGCCCCAGCCTCACCAATGATTTTCTCCAGGTGTCTGGGCTGGGGCGTCTCAAACCCAACACAATCGTGCTGGGCTACAAGCAGAACTGGCAGACGGACTCGCCCCACAACCTGGAGAACTACGTGGCCACCATCCAGTAAGGGGGCTGGGCTGGGGGGGCAGAGTGGGGTGGGGCGCTGGGGTGGATGCCCCAGAGTAGGGGGCAGCAATGGGGTTGGAGGCATCTCTGGAAGTGAGGAGACTCCCTGGGGAGCAGCACCTCCTTTCTGGCACCTCCCAGGCAGTACCAGGGCTGAAGGCCCTTGGGGGGCCTGGGACCTTCCAGCAGCACCCCCTGACCCCACTCTGTGCCCCCAGCGACGCGTTCGACGGCCGGGCCGGGGTGTGCGTGCTGAGGATGAAGGACGGGCTGGATGTGTCGCGGACGGTTCGGGCCTATGGTGAGTAGTGGGTGTGGGCTGGGGGAGGGCAGACGGACACAGACCCATGGACATGCCTGGGCAGGGCTTGGCCCTGCCAGTAGGGGGCAGCAGTGACCTCCACCAGTGCTCTCTGCCTGCCCCATTCCCCTGGGTGAGCGGCTGTGCAGCCAGGTGGGGCCAGGGGGCTCTCCGTAGCTGTCTAACCCCCATCTCCCCAGTGAACCCCACGTTTGAGGACCCCGAGGCAGCACTGCAGGGCGAGAAGCTGAGACAGGAGTCGGGCAATGCAGGTGAGGAGGCGATGGAGGGGGGCAGGGATGGGGGCTGCTGGGGGCAGAGACTGAAGCAGCTGGGGGCAGGGGCTGGGCAGCAAGGGAGGGGGCTGTGGGTGGCAGCCAGGGACACTGGGCTCATGTCAGGCCAGGGGAGGCCCGGGGGAGGAGGAGACACCATACTACCCCGATTTGAGGGTTGCCCTGCCCCACCTGCTCTGTGTGCCTACAGGCAGCAGCGTGAAGGTGCTGGGCGCGGACGAGCTCACTGAGACCCACTTCCAGGCCCAGCAGAAGAAGAGATGTGTGGACGTCTACTGGCTCTTTGACGATGGGGGTGCGTGTCTCCCAGCCCACCCCCCGCCCCTGGCAGTTCCCCTACCAGCCCCCTTGCCTCTGTCAGCCCCCCACCCCTCGCAGCTCCCCTACCAGCCCCCTCGCTTCTGCCAGCCGCCCGTCAGCCCCCTCACCTCTGCCAACCCCCCAACCTCCTCCCTCCATCAGACCCCTCCCCTGGCAGCTCCCCCACCACCCCCTCACCTCTGCCAGCCCAACCTCCTCCCTCCACCAGCCCCCACACCGTCAGCCACCCCCACCACCTCTCTTACCAGCCCCCAAACCTCCTCCCTCCGTCAAGCCCCTTCATCCACCAGACCCCCTCCCCTGCCAGCTTTCCACCCCCCAGACTCTCAACCTCTGACAGCCCCTGCCCATCCCTTGGAAGCCTCCCATCTCTTCTCCAGCCTTCTCACCTCCTGGCAACCCCCGGGCCGCAAGAGCCTGCCAGTCCCCCCGCCCTTCGTTCCTGGCCTGCTCCCCCCGCCGGCCACTCCCTGACACTGTCTCCCCCCCAGGGCTTACCCTGCTGGTCCCCTACCTACTGAGCCGCCGCAAGCGCTGGAGCCGCTGCCGGGTCCGGGTCTTCATCAGCGGCCACCTGGGCAGCGCCGAGCAGCAGCGCCAGGAGTAAGGGCACCTGCCTCGGCCCCACGGGTCCCCCGAATTCCCACCCGCCGCTCCCCCCTCCCGTTGGCCCCCCGCATTCCTCCCGCGGGCCCCTGCATTTCCTCCCCACCCGCTGGCCCTGCCGTTCCCCCCTCCCATGGGCCCCACAAATTCCCGCCCACCCCTCCCCACCCATGGGCCCCCCCGCATGGCCCCCGCTCCTCCCCCCGCATTCCCCCTCCGCCCACAGGCCCTGCTGCTCCTCCCCTCCCATGGGCCTATCGCTCCCCCTCTGCCCCACAGGATCCAGCTGTTGCTCAGCAAGTTCCGCCTGGGTTTCAGCGAGGTACTGGTGCTGCCCCACGTGGCCTGGCAGCCGGAGGAGAGAAGGTGAGTCCCCCCCACAGCGATTCCCCACCCCCCACTTCTCAGGGGGGCCTCAGGCCTGACCCCATTCCCCGGGCTCCCCACTGCCTGGGTGGGGAGCACCAGGCCCTGTCCCAGGGCCTAACAGAACCCCTGAAATGGACCCCACCTCCCTGGCACCACCCACAGTGAAGGATCCCTACAGCTGTCTGGCTGAAAATAGAACCCAGGAGTCCTGGCTTGCCCTCCCCTCCCAGAGCCAGGGAGAGAACCCAGGAGGCCTGGCTCCCAGCCCCCACTCCCTACCCTAGAGGAGACAGGTACCACCCTAGGCTGCCCAGCCCTCCAGGTGGGTCCAGCTGTCCTCAGCCCTGTGCTCTGCCCCCAGCCTGAAGGAATTTGAGGACCTGGTGGCTCCGTTCCGGCTCAACGAGGGACAGCGCAGTCCTGAGGCCACAGAGGCCCTGCGGAGGGAGACACCCTGGAAGGTTTCAGATGAGGATCTGCGGGTCTACAGGAAAAAGGTGAGACCGGATACCTGGGTCCTAGCCTGGCTCTGGGAGGGGACCAGGGGGTCTAGTGATTGGAAGTCAGGACTCCTGGTTGTGGCCTGGCTCTGGGGGGCTAGGCACACCGCAACCCCCTCTCACTCTTCCCCCACAGTCGGAGCAGCAGGTCCGGCTCCACGAAATCCTGCAGGAGAATTCCCGGAACGCCGCCCTGATTGTCATGTGAGTGCAGGCCTCATCCCTGCGCGGGACAGCACCCAGGCGGCCTGCGTGATCTTGGCCTTGTCTCACTGCAGAACCGGGGATGGGGAGAGACCCCCTGCAAGCAATGAGGAGTGGGGGCTAGTGGGGGACCTGGCCTGCATGCGCCAGGAGGGACAGACCGTAGGGGAAGGGCTGTGCCCTGGGATCCCTGGCTGGGGGAGAGTGATCATTGCCCTGGGGGATTTCCCCATGGCCCTGCCCTGGGGCGCGGGGGTGTAGGGGCAGCCGGTATCAAGCGGAGTGCCCTAGGGGCTGGTTTTGTTCAACATCTTTATTAATAATCTGGATGATGGGACAAGTGCAGAGTTCTGCACTTAGGACGGAAGAATCTCATGCACCGCTACAGGCTGGGGACTGACTGGCTAAGAAGCAGTTCTGCAGAAAAGGACCTGGAGATTACAGTGGACAAGAAGCTGGATATGACTCAGCAGTGTGCCCTTGTTGCCAAGAAGGCCAACGGCATTTTGGGCTGCATTAGTAGGAACATTGCCAGCAGATCAAGGGAAGTGATTATTCCCCTCTGTTTGGCACTGGTGAGGCCACACCTGGAGTATTGCATCCAGTTTTGGGCCCCCCACTACAGAAAGGATGTGGACAAATTAGAGAGTCCAGCGGAGGGCAACGAAAATGATTAGGGGGCTGGGGCACATGACTTATGAGGAGAGGCTGAGGGAACTGGGGTTATTTAGTCTGCAGAAGAGAAGAATGAGGGGAGATTTGATAGCTGCTTTCAACTACTTGAAAGGGGGTTCCAAAGAGGATTGATCTAGACTGTTTTCAGTGGTGGCAGATGACAGAACAAGGAGCAATGGTCTCAAGTTGCAGGGGGGGAGGTCTAGGTTGGATATTAGGAAACACTATTTCACTAGGAGGGTGGTGAAACACTGGAATGGGTTACCTAGGGAGGTGGTGGAATCTCCATCCTTAATAGGTTTTTAAGGTCCAGCTTGACAAAGCCCTGGCTGGGATGATTTAGTTGGGGATTGGTCCTGCTTTGAGCAGGGGGTTGGACTAGATGACCTCCCGAGGTCCCTTCCAACCCTGATATTCTATGATTCCTCTGGCCCTGCCCTGGGGGTGGGGGGATGGGAGCCCTCGGGGGTATCCCCATGCCCCCCCCCCCCCACTGACCCCCATCCCTCCCTGCAGGAGCCTGCCTGTGGTGCGCAAGGGGGCCTGTCCCAGCGCCCTCTACATGGCCTGGCTGGAGACCCTGTCCCGGGATCTTCGCCCACCTGTTGCCTTCATCCGGGGCAACCAGCAGGATGCCCTGACCTTCTACTGCCAGTAGGGGGCACTGCTGGCTTAGCCCGAGGGAGTAGCCTGGAAACCTGGGTTCTTTCCCCAGCGGTGGACGGATCATGGCCCCCAGCTGGGCAGGGTGCTGATGCTGGTGCTACCGTCTCTGCACGCTCAACTGTCCCCTCCGACGTTGCCACGGGGACTCGGATGCCTGGGTCCCATGCGCAGCCTGGGCCGGGGCCTGTTGTGCTCTGCCCCTGCCGGGGGGTGTCCCCCACCGCGCTGCACTGTAAATATTAAATATTGTTATTTACACAACGCCTGACACCTCGTCAATTGACGCCCCCCCAGCCATGCAGGTGCCCCTCACTCCCGATCCACAGCCCCGTGCTAGCCCAGCCTTGCCCCTCCCCCAGCCCTACCGGTGCCCCTCACTCCTGACCCGCAGCCGCTGCTAGCCCAGCCCTGAGCTGCCCCCCAGCTCTGCCGGTGCCCAAGTCCCAACCTTCAGCCCCTGCCAGCCCTGCCCGCCCCCCCAGTTCTGTCAGTGCCCCTCACTCCCGACCCGCAGCCCCTG